TGGAATTTAACTTATGGAATTTCCCTAATGGCTAATGATGTTGATCATGTGTTTATTTGAAATCCATACATATTATTTGGTGAAGTGCCTGTTCAAAACTTTTGAGTATTTTTGTTAATGAGTTGTTTGTTTTCCTAGTATTGAGTTTTGAGTGTTCTTTATATATTCTGAATACAAGTCCTTTTTTAAAGCTTATTTTAATTTAAAGAGACAGAGAGAGAGAGAGAGAGAGAGAGAGAGAGAGCGCGCAAACAGGAGAGTGGCAGACAGAGAGGGAGACAGAATCCCAAACAGGCTCTGCACTGTCAGCACAAAGCCTGACATAGGACTTGAACTCACAAACCACGAGATCATGACCTGAGCTGAAATCAAGAGTTGGACGCTTAACTGACTGAGCCACGCAGGTGCCCCTGCATACAAGTCCATGTTAACATGTTTTGAAAATAATTTTCCCAGTGTGTAGATCCTCTATTTTCATAACAATGTCTTTTGAAAAGCAGAGGTTTTAAATTTTGATCAAGTGCAGCTTACCAAATTTCTTATATGGATCATATTAATAACTCCTTGCCTAACTTAAAGTGATAAAGAAAACTGTCCCACATTTTCTTCTAGGTCTTTTATTGTTTAGGATTTACATGTAGGCCTAAGACTCATTTTGAGTTAATATTTGATATCGTGTGATGTATAGGTTAAGATTAATTCTTTTGAACATGGATGCTTAATTATTCCTGCATACTTAGTTGAAAAATGATTTCTCCCATTGAATTTCTTTCGCATCTTTGCCAAAAATCGATTGAACACATATATGTGGATCTATTTCTGGATTCTATTATGTTTTACTGTTTTATGTGTCTATTCCTTCACCAATACCACGTTGTATTGATTATAGTAACTTTATAGTAAGTCTCGAGATCAGATAGTGTGAGTCTTCCAATATCGTTTTATTTTTTTAGTTTTTAGGCCATTCTTATTTACTTCTTGCAGATTTTAAAAATAGCTTGTCAATTTCTGCAAAAACTTCTGGGATATTGAGTGAAACTGTGTTGCATTATAGATCAATTTAGGACAAATGGCTTAACAGCTCCATGAGTAGGTCATATCTATTTGAGTAGTCTTTTAAATCTTTCATCAGTATTTTGTAATATGCAGCACACAGATCACACACACTCATGCCCCCAGTCTCTCCCTGTTACCGTACATTATATACTCGGTGCTATTGTAAATTGTACTGCTTTTTTCTTTCTTAATTTCAATTTCCGATAGTTTGGAACAAGTATAGTAAAACTTTGGACTGTGAGCAAATTGTTCTGCAAGTTTTCCACAAGACGAGCAAACATTTGTAATAAATTTTAACTTGATAAACAAGTGATGTCTTACGAGTTGTATGTGATGCCTGTTGTCACATGATCATCTCTCTCTCCTGCTGTAGGACTGTGGGTGATCATCTCCCATGCTCGGTCTCAGGCTGTAGTATTTGGCAGAAATCAGTGATTTTTCAGAATGTGGGAAGGTGCCCACAACTGGCACTAGTGTACTTTTTGTCACTTCAAAGCACCTATGGACAGTCCTTGGCTTTTCCATACAAGGGTAAGCTTAGGAATGCTTTGCTTCATTGTAGGTCAGGCTGCCTGCAGATATAGACCCTTTCCTCTGCTGCCTTCTTGCCAGTTACATTAAATATAGTATATGACAAGAGTTTATTAATACTGTACCGTAGTCAGCATCTGTGTGAGCATATACAATGGCCCCCATGCAGAAGAAGATTCCATTGAGCCAATGGATAGCAGTGATTCCATTAGTGATAGTGAAAGTTGTCCTACACAATAACCCTCCTCTCTCTTGTCTCCCTCACAATAGCCGCGAAGGTTTCAAAGGTAAGTGTAGGCTAATTTATTTTTCTTTATATTTTGTATTTTCTTTATTATTTTGTATTATATTACAGTATTGTAATCATTTTTATATGAATATTTTTGGGTTGTGGAACAAATCATCTGAGTTTCCATTATTTCTTATGGGGAAATTTGCTTTGATATGCACGCACTTTGGATTACAAGCATGCTTCCAGTATGGATTGTGCTCCCAAAGGTTTTACTGTATAGTGATTTTTTTTTGTATAGTCTTGCTTCCTGTGGCTTTGCTGTATTTATTAGTTCTACTTGCTCTTTTGTTGATTCCTTGAGATTTTCTGCATAATCTTGTCTTCTGCAATTAGAGTTTTATTTATTCCTTTCCTGTCTTTTTTTTTTTTTTTTTTTTCACCCTGGTGCACTGGCTGCTTACCTCCCATATAATGTTGACATGGGGTGGGGAGAGAAGTCCTTGCCTTGTTTCCAAACTTTTAGGTGAAAGCATCCAATCTTTTTCCCTGCCCCCACACTTCTAGCAGTTTGTATCTTATTTTTTGTCTTAACTGGAATTAAAATACAACTTTAAAAGAGCATTCAATCTATCACCACTAAAAAGACGTTATCAATATTTTTGCCTATGTCGTATATCAGCTTGAGGTAGTTTCCCTTTAATTCCTAGATTTTGGGTATTTTTTTTTTTAAGTCATGAATTGATGTTCAATTTTATAAAGTTCTTCTGCATTTAACTGAATTAGACAGCTTGACTTTTGTATATTGAAACAATCTACATTTTCAGGGATGCTGGGGTGACTCAGCCTGTTAAGCATCTGACTTCAGCCCAGGTAATGATCTCACGGATTGTAGGTTTGAGCCCCATGTCAGGCTCTATGCTGACAACGCAGAGCCTGGATTCTGCTTCAGATTCTGTGTCTTCTTCTCTATCTGCCCCTCTCCTGCTCATGCTCTGTCTCTCAAAAATAAATAAACGCTAAATTTATTTAAAAAAAAAACAATCTACATTTTAAGTCTATACCACTTTATGATTTATTATCCTTTTTAGAAATTGCTGAATATGATATTTTGTTGGGGATTTTCAAGTGTATGTTCATGAAGGATATTAGTCAGTTTTCTGTTCTTAAAATGTCACTATTGGATTTTATTATCAGGAATAGTGACTTCATAAAATGACTTAGAAAGGTTCCATGTCTATTTTTGTGTGTGTGTGTGTGTGTGAAGATTTTGGTTAGAATTAGAATCATTTTTTTTTCCTGAGATATTTAGCTAGAATTTGCCAGTAAATCCATTTGCACCTGGGTTTACTTTGCTAGAAGGTTTTTTCTATAAATTTACCTTGTTTAGGAGATACAACTATCCAGGCTGTCAATTCTTGTATGCTTTGGTAATTTGTGTCTGTCAAGGAATTTGTACACTTTGCTAAAATTGTCAGTTGTATAGACATAAAGGTGTTCATAATGTTCTCATGAAGTTGTTCCCAATATTTACAGGGACCTCAACATTTGCAAGCCATGCAGTGGGTTGACAGTCTGGAACTGCTGCTCCTTGTGGTCCACAACAGGTATCACTTGCTTGATACAATTTAATTCCATTTGGATTAGAGAACATATTTTGCATGATTTTACTTCTTTTAAATTTGGTATGGTTTGCTTTATGGCCCAGAATATGATTTGTCTTGGTGAATATTCTAAATGCACTCGAAAGTAATGTTTATTCAACCACTGAGATGTTCTCTAAGTGGCAAATAAACCAAGTTGGGTGTTCAAGTCGTCTATATCCTAACTGATTTTCTGTCATCTTGCTTTGTCAATTACTAAGAGAAATATACTGAGTTCTCCAAAGATACTTATGGTATCCTATCAGTTTTTGCTTCATGAATTTTCAAGCTCTGTTGTTAGGTGCATACACATTTAGAATTGTATGTCACCTGATGTTCCTTTGGTAATACTGCTTGTATGAATTTTTTAATATGAATATAGGTAGTCCAACTTTCTTTTGATTAGTTTTTTTTCCTTAGTCTTTTAGCCTACTTATCTCTTTATACTTAAAAAGGGTTTCTTTAGAAGACATATAGTATATAGTTGGGTTTTGCTTTTTTTTTTATCCAATCTGACGATCTGTAAGTGGTGTGTTTAGAACATTTAATGTAATTATAGATATCACTGGATTTGAAGCTATTATCATGCTAATATTTACTATTTCCACCATGGGCTATTTGTTCAGTTTTCCTGTCTGCTTTTGGATTATTTTTTATAATTCCATTTTGTCTCTACTACTGGCTTATTAGTTATATATCACTTCAATTAAAAAAAAATTTTTATGTTTATTCATTTTTGAAAGACAAAGAAACAGAGCACAAGCAGGGGTGGAGCAGAGAGAGAAGGGGACACAGAATCTGAAGCAGGCTCCAGGCTCTGAGCTGTCAGCACAGAGCCTGACGTGGGCCTTGAAACTCACGAACCGTGAGATCATGACCTGAGTTGAAGTCAGATACCCAATGACTGAGCCACCCAGGCACCCCTAAATTTTTTTAAATGGTTGTTTTGGGGCTTATAATATGCACCTATAATTTTTCACAGCCTATCTTATAATATTTTTATGCCAATCCATGTAGTGTAGAACAGATACCTCCAATTTCTTTTTGCCCTGTTTTAAGGTATTGTTATATTTTTACTTTTTACATGTCCTATAAACTCACAAAACCTTGCTCACTTTTTGCTTTGGTGAATATTTTTGAGTTATTAAAAATAAGAAAAATTATATGTCTTTCTTTCTCTTTCTCTTTCAATCCAAATTTATCTCTGGTATAATATTCTCTCTGCCTGTAGAAATTCCTTTAATATTTCTTGTAGTGCAGATCTACTGGTGGTGAATTGTTAGCTTTTATTCATCTGAAAAATCTTCATTTTGCATACTTTTTAAAAAGACTTTTTTTTCACTGGGCTTGGAATTTTTGATTAACAGCATTTTGTTTCAGGATTTTAAAGCTATCACTCCACTGACTTCTGGCTTGAATGATGAGAAGTCTGCTTTTTCTCATCTCTGTTCCTTGTATGTAATGTGTCCTTTTTCTCTGTCCACCATCAATATTTCCTCTGCCTTGTTCATTTTCAGCTGTTTGGCAAGAATAGGTCTCATTTTTTTTGTTTGTTTGTTTGTTTTTAAATCCTGCTTGAGCACTCTGAGGTTCTTGGATCTAGAATTGGTCTTCTACTATTTATGGAAAATTCTCAGCCATTATCTCTGCAAATATTTCTCTTCTCATTCTTGCTTTCTTCTCTTCCTAGATTTCCAATTATACATATATTAGACCATAAGAAGTTTCCCCGCAGTTCTTTGATGCTCTGTGTCCTTTACTCTGTTTTAGTTTGAATGATTTCAATTGACCTATATTCAAGTTCTCTGACACTTTCCTCAGTTTTGTTGAGCCTACTCATGAGTCCTTCAAAAGCATCCTTTATGATAAAATTTTTCTTGTCTAGCATTTCCTATTTCACTCTTTATTAACTTCCACTCAAGTTCCCCCATCTGTTCGTGTATATTGTCTGCCCTTTTCACAAAAGGACTCAAAACATCGCTCAGTTATGTAAAACTTTCTGATATTCCAAAATATGGGCATCTCACTGTGTGGTTTTATTAATTGGTCTGCTGCTACTTGGCAGAGAGGGTTGTTTGTTCTTGTAATCATGTAATTTTTTGACTGAATGCCAAATAACGTGTGTCAAATGGTAGAAACTGGAGTAAATGTTATTTTTGTCTGGAACTGGGCACAGCTATTCTGCTAAAGTGTTAGGGTGAACCAATCTGGCCAGGAGTTAAGGTGGAATTAGATTCTGTTGTTGAAATAGTTATCTTTAGTATACCACTTCAAATTTTTCTAATATTACTGGCCCTTCGGGTAGGGGCTGGAGTGTTGGAGGGTTTTTCTCAATGTTCCTTCTTCACCCTCAGCTTTTGGCCATCTCTGTATACCTGTGCCACAGCATTCTCGGTCCATATTTTTGCTGTTTTTCCAATGTAGCCTGCTACTGCTTGCCTCTAGGAACAAGCTAGCCTATTTATGGGAAACAAGGATATTCTTTATTGTCTTGGTTTAGCCTCAGTCTTGAGTGGGGGTTGGAGAGGACAGAGATCTTATGTATTTGGGGGAACTAGGACTACATAACACTACAAATGAGACAGAAGCTCTCTTCCCTCACCTGTGAGCAAAAAAAAAAAAAAAAAAAAAAAAAAAGCAGGTGATACTGCCATCTTGTGAGCAATCTAAAGACAAGAGTTCACATAAAAGGACAGAGGTGAGAGAGTTAAACAAAAGCAATACAAAGCCCAGACCCACATCTTACCCTGCCTGCATCTTTTCATTTATATGAGCTGAGAAATATTTTTGGTCTAAGCAACTCTAAGTTACATTTCTTGTTACTTACAGCTAAAAGCTTCCTAAATGATAAAACCACCATGAGCTTTCATGATTTTCCCTGGGAAGTGATGACAGTAAAGAAATGCATTAGAAGCCCCAATGTCTGACACTGTGCAACTTGACTTAGCACCTTGAAAGCCAGGGTAAGGGAGTGCTCTGGTCGCCCCATTCATCCAACGGGAGAAATCTGAGAAAAATTATGATGCACCAGTTTATAATACTAGTGAATTGTACTAGAGCATTCTAGGCTGTATGGCCTTTGAGACCTAAAGAAATTTCAGAGTAAGAAAAAGTTGCTGACACCTCATTTATCTGTATCCTTAGAAACCTAGAGAATTTTGAAAATTAACCTCACAGATTTTATTCTTTAGTTTTGGCCATAATGCCATCTAGTGAAATAAAGCAATCACATTATGGATTCTTAAATATAAAGGATGACAGCTCAGTAGTTTATTACTTTGGTAAAATTGGTAAATGTTAATTGAAAAAAAATTTTAAATGAAGTACAAAAAAAAAAAAAAAGACTATGCCAAAATTTTGCTTGTCAGAGAAAACTGTTGTATATATGATGGTGAGTAATCTTTCACACATTATCTATGAAACACGTATTTGAACATATATGTATGCAGACTTAACTGGATATTTTGAAAGTACAATCCACATTTTCACTGACACAATATGTGTAATTCTTTCCTATCATTATAGATTAATTCCTTACTTTCTATAATTCCATATTTATAGAAACTTAGAGAAATTTATCTATTTATTTCTAGTTTAAAAAATTACCCTCATTGTACAAATCTCTTTATATTATTAAGATGGCCTTATCATAAATTATTACTCTAAGTTTCCAGGTGGAAATCAGTCAGACCAGTGTCATATGTAAGAGATGAATCACTGGGTTCTACTCCTGAAGCCAAGACTACACTGTATGTTAACTAAGATGAATTTAAATTAAAAAAAAAAGTTTCCAATAAAAATTTTGACTAAAAACAAAAATCAAATCAAAAGAACTTTGACAGAAACGTGAAGACTAAAAAAGCAAAGTATTATAATTTTGACATTTATTAAGAAAGTACTTGTCATTAGCAACCATTTCTGACACTTTGCAAATATTACAGGAAAACTCTGCCTTAACACACAGGGCAGGAGTAAAAAGTCAATTATGTAAAATGCAGTGCAACCAGAAACATTGTTTATCAATTTGTACTGTCATTTAAAGTGCACATATGTGTACACACACACACACACACACACACACACACACACACACACACACAAACACACAGCGCTAAACTTAAGCTGATGGAATACTGTATAGAAAGAGACCAAATGATAAGAATTCAGCTCATCCCTGTTTAAGACAAGACAAAGGATGGGAACCAATCCCAACAGGGTTACAACCCAATTCATGTAATTTCAGATGACAATATTGCTTGATATTCTACATTTCAAATATTTTCCCACTTGAAGTGCTTATGTTAAGGTTACTTGCAGGATTCCTCCTCCAAATACATTTTTAAATGATCTTTTTGGGGTAAATAAGCTTAATAAAATTTTCAAACATGACACTTTTATACATTTTTAGTCATTTAGTAAAAAGTACTGAGCACCTACACTGAGTTATGCAATGTCATGGTTTTAAAAACTCAGTAAATAAGTGAAGCCCCTTTTCTCATTAAGCTTTACATTAGAGTAAACATAGATTTAGGCACGCTCTTCACTGTACTTTTGTTACTCTGGTCTTTTATAAGCCCTAGTACAAGTCATGTGCAATGAATCTTAAAATTGTGAGAAAACCCCTTACGGAGACTCTCTTGTTAGATGTCTCCATAGTGTGGTCTCCTGACTATTGTGAATGTTGAGGCTGGGCAGAAACATTTCCATGAAAGAAATTTTGTCTACTATAAGAACTCTAGGGAGTGGAAAATTTCAGTTCCCATTTGAGGACTTCAAAACAAATATAACGGTTTTATAGATCTTCATTTCTGTATGGATTCTCTGATGAAGGATAATCCTTACCATACTCTTCGCTTTTATAGAATTTGTCACCACTATGGACTCTCTGATGAATAAGTAGACCTGAGCTCCAACGGAAACCCTTACCACACGCATCACATTTGTATGGTTTCTCTCCTGTGTGGACTCTCTGATGAGCCTGAAGGTTTGATCTCTGACTGAAGCCCTTTCCACACACCTCACATTTGTATGGTTTTTCCCCAGTGTGGACTCTGTGATGAGCTTGAAGACTGGAAAACCCACTGAAACCTTTACCGCACTGTTCACATTTATAGGGCCTCCCTTCTGTGTGGACCCTCTGATGCGCTTGAAGACGTGAACTCTCACTGAAGCCCTTTGTGCATACCTCACATTTGTATGGTTTCCCTCCTGTGTGGACCCTCCGATGTGCTTCAAGACGTGAACTCTGACTAAAACCCTTCCCACACATCTCACATTTATATGGTTTCACTCTAGTGTGGACTCTTTGATGACCTTGAAGATATGCTCTCTGACTGAAGCCCTTCCCACATACCTCACATATATATGGTCTCTCTCCAGTGTGGACACTCTGATGGCTTTGAAGATAAGATCTCTGACTGAAGCTCTTACCACACTCATCACATTGGTATGGCTTCTCTCCTGTGTGGACTCTCTGGTGGGCCAGGAGGGTTGAGGCCTTACTGAAGCCCTTACCACATTCTCCACATTTATAGGGTTTCTCTCCTGTATGAACCCTCTGATGAATTTGAAGATTAAAGCTCCAACTGAATCCCTTCCCACACTCCTCACATTTGAATGGTTTTTCTCCAGTGTGAACTCTCTGGTGGCCTTGAAGGTGTGAACTCCGACTGAAGCCCTTCCCACACTCCTCGCACTTGTATGGTTTTTCTCCAGTGTGAACTCTCTGGTGGCCTTGAAGGTATGAATTGCGACTAAAGCCCTTCCCACACTCTTCACATTTGTATGGTTTTTCTCCAGTGTGGACTCTCTGATGGGCTTGAAGGTATGAACTCCGACTGAATCCTTTATCACACTCCTCACATTTATAAGGTTTCTCTCCTGTGTGGACTCTCTGGTGAACATTAAGAACTGATCTATGACTGAAGCTTTTACCACATGCATTGCATTTGTACGGTTTCTCTCCAGTGTGGACTCTCTGATGGTCTTTAAGTTTTGAACTCCAACTGAAGCCATTCCCACAGTCCTTGTAAGCTTTCTCTCCGATGTGAATTTTCTGATGACCTTGAAGATATGAATTTTGGCTGAAGCTGTTACCACATGCATAATGTTTATATGGTTGTTCCCTAGTATGGATTATCTGAAGGTCCTGCAAATGTGAGTCCAGACTGAAGTTATTACCACATTCCTCAGAACTATAAGGAATCTCTTCCATGTGAACTCTATGCTGAATGTTAAGATTTGAGCTACAAAGAAAACCCTTCTCATATTCTACATCTGTGTATAGTTTCTCTCCAGTGTGGATTTTCTGGTAGACTTGGAGACAAGAACTCTGATTAAAGACATCCCCATTCTCCTCATATTCACGGGGTTTCTCCTTAGTATGGATCCTAAAAATACTATTAAGGTCTAAGCTATGATTGAAGGCTTTCTCATAAATATTGCATCTATAGGACGTCTGTCCCGTGTGAATAAGTCCACAAGTGTTGAGAGAAGAGGGCTGACTGAAGTTCTCACCATATCCACATTTATATGGCTTCTCTTCTGTATGTACTCTCTGATGGGATTGCAGAGGTGAACTCTCAAAAACACAATCATCTCTTCTATGAACACTTTGATGAATATGAAGAACTGAACTATAACTACAGCCCTTTCCACATGGACTGTAGGTATGGGTTTTCCCTTCTAAGTGTAACTGCTGATAAACTTCAGAGTTGGAGTCGTCACTGAGGGCTTTTCTGTACTCATTACAGGAGTAGGGCTTTTGCCCCGTTTTGATTAAGTCTTGATTAAGCAGTGAAACCTTCATGAGGTTTTCTCCACAGTCATGGCAGCTGTAAATTTTTTCTGATCTGTGTACTCCCAGATTATCATTGTGTGGTGTGATCCAACTGGTGCTGTCACACTTACAGAAATTATTTTTCATCAAAATTTGCTGACACCTACACTGATAATTATGTGACTCTGTCAGATACATTTTCCTCCAAGAATGCTGGGTTCTCCAAGATGGAAATTCTTGACTTTTTATGCAATTGGAAACATCCTCTATATGAGTCAATATATAGTTCTCATCTTCGGGAACATGAACTGGCACTCCTGCCCAAACCTGGCAGGGGAAAGCACCTGGGTTTTGCAACTGAGAAATATTCCTTTGAAAATTTTTCATGGCATCTTGACACCTGGTTAACCCGCCTGTACTTTGTTGCCAGGTCTTCCGGGAAGAAGGCTCTTTGGGGGAAATGTAGCCTAATCCCACTGCTTGACTACTCTCCATATTATGTTGACTCTTGGTTCCTATAATGATAAAGAGAATTTAGATATGTGCAGAAGTGGAAGTTTTTATTCAGAGACTTTAAGATTTTGCACTTAGGTCACGACATGAAATTACAGGAAAATTCATGTTACTATGTCTAAGAATACTTAGAAAATGGCTCCGGTTCTTCTTCAGTTGTATCAGGAATATAAGTAAGGTCCACATAATTCAAGCTATCTGTATGCCTCAAAATCAGGGCTTTGCAACGCAACCTGGAAATATCAAACACGGTGGCCCTGTTCAAAAGGTCTAGTAAAACCATATCCATATTACTTATGGGTTTATCATGGATTGCCTGGAGATCCCAAGAAGGGGGAATTCTCAAATTGGGAAGAATGGAGATGCAAGTGGACAAAAACTTTTTTTCTCTCTGGCATGTGGGTATGGCAATGTTTTCGTCTGTATGTGTGTTAGGAGACAGTGTTAAGTACCGTGCAAAGGTAAACACAGACCTTTATGCATGAGGCATCATATGGCCCCTATAAACTCTTTATCTTCATGAGAATAATAAATTCTTCTAAGTCACTGTAAGCCATATCACTTTCACCTCTTTTCAAAAGATATTTCACAATTAGCAAGGGCCATCGTATAGGTCGGAATGTGAAACACTGTGACAGAATTCAACTCCAAAGACATCAGGGGGAAAAAAGGAGGCTGAGGGAGGTGAGCACAGCCAAGTTCCCTGGCACCTGGAGGTGTACTTTGAGGCAAATCACCAAAAACCAAAAGCTCAATGAACACTGACTCTGGCTTGTGTCCTTTTAGTGGAAAAATACTTTAATGTTCAGAAAATCTGAAGCACCAGAAGAGTTGAAGACAGGCACATTTGGGTAGAAATGGTTTGTCACTTAGTTATTAACACTCAGCTTCCTAGCAGACAGCAGATCCTCAAATCCAAGAGTACCTCCCTACCGACACCAGATTCAGCAGGGCTGACATCATAACATGTACCTTCCTAACACCCGGCAGCACATTAATTCTCTATAGCATCCAGAAAAGAAAGCAGTAAAACAGAACTAAGAGGGCATGAAGATATGTTGTTTTTCATGGGAAGGTGGTGATGGCGATTTTGCCACAAGGCTGAAAAGCTGTATGAGAGGCAGGGCTACACTTAGGGTAGCACCTGCTGATGAGAAAAGCAAAGGTCGCAGGAATCTCTTCTGGATTGAGTCTTTTTAACTTTTAAACTAACTCAAAACAGTGTATTTCTTCTTGCATAAAATCTTACCAGTAAACCCATACTATCTCCAACTTTATTTTTTTTTAGTTTTGCATTTTTTTTCCAATTAAAATTTTTATTTTACTGAAAATGTTTTATTAAGGTTAATTTTCTTCCATAAATATTTTTTTTTTAATTTAAATTCAAATTAGTTAACATAGCGTGTAGTCTTGGCTTTAGGAGCAGAACCCAGTGATTCATCTCTTACGTATGACAACCTAGGGCTCATCCCGAAAAGTGCCCTGCTTAAGGCCCATCACCCATTTAACTCAGCCCCCCACCCACTTTGTCTACTATCCCCAACTTTAAAAAAAAGGAAAGAAAAGAAGAGAAGAGAAAAGAAAAGAAAAGATAAGAAAAGAAAAGAAACAAAATGCCACACTGATGACTAGGGTGGCACTAGGCTGTGGGACACTGCAGTAACTTCCGGGTAACACTTTATGGCACATCCATACATAACGCCTCTCAATACTTCAAAAAAAGCCAAACACTTAGTGATGTCTCTGGCTTCTCAAAAGCAAAGTTTCCAGTTATTACACTAATATTTTATCACTTAAACGTGAAATGAAGGGACATACTACAGGAGGCAGACAAAGTTAATAGCCTATATGTGAGAAGTTTGGTGTCCAGCTGGAGTTCATCATAATCCTTATAGTTTTACTTGGTATCATCAAAAACACTCAGTATGCATCCATAAAGATACAGTTTAAATACTTAATATCTTTTGGGACTGACATGGTGGCTTGAGGACATGAAAAGAGACTTGCTGGTCAAAACCCAGTTTTTTACAAAGCAGCTCTTTCAACAGAAATTTGTACATAATTTTTGATATGACTGTCTCAAATATTTAAGAGATTAAAGTTTCGTCTTGACCAGTGGCTTCACAATGTGAAAGCATTACAGGAAGGGGGGGAAAAGGTCATTTTACTCAGTTTCAGGCTCTATGGAAAAGATCACACATTTAATGACATTAACTTTAATTTCCTTTAGCCAGTGGAAAACACCTTGTCGTTTCCTTTCCCTCTCTCAACATTTAGGTTCTCTCTTAGTATCAATGGCAGGGTGCTGATAAGAAATTGTGTTAAGTCAAATTCATAAACGAACTGAATAAATGAATTTGATGGAGAAAATATGCACTGCAAAAAAACACTAAAAGGTCTTGTTAAGGTGCACCTGGGTGGCTCAGTAGGTTGAGCATCTGACTCTTGATTTTGGCTCAGGTTATGATCCCAGGATTGTGGGATCGATCCTTGCATCAGGCTCTGTGCTGTGGAGCCTGCTTAAGATTCTCTCTCTCCCTCCACCCCTCCCAAGCTCTCTCTCTCTCTCTCTCACTGTCTCTTTCAAAAAAAAATCTATTTGAAGAAGGCTGAGAATTTATTTCATCTTCTTAGTAGTCCTTTAGCTTTAGAGGTTGAGAAAGTCAATCCTTCCAACATCCTCTATGAACCAATTCAATAACAAAAATTTTATATGTGTTGTAAATACCAAATAATCCCTTTAAACAGTTAGCTATAATGAATTAAGAAAAAAAAAATCTCCGTTTAGATTTTCTTTTTCTCTTCTCCTTTAATATAAATTAGTCAAGAATATCAACTCAGGCAATCCAGGCTGAGATGAGCCTGCATTCTTACTGAGCTTTTTAAATAGTAAGAGAAACCAAGGCATTTTGCAGGCAGTAGAGGATAAAGTAACAATAATGTTTTGATTACAAATATTTACAAAGCTGGCTACTCTCCTAACCACATCTGAGACTTAGCTCTATCAGAGTATATTTAACCTTTGAGGATTTCTTGTCTGTCTCCACTGCTTTACCCCACGACTAAACGAGTTCTTTCTTTTTGGAAGGTTCTTAATTATCATTTCTTCAACAGATATAGGCTTATTCGGATCGTCTATTTCTTCTTGTGTAAGTTTTGGCAAATTACGTCTTTCAAAGAATTGGTCCATTTCATCGAGGCTATCATATTTGCATAGAGTTTGTCCACAGTATTCCTTTATTATTCTTTTAATGCCCACAGGACCTGGGTGATGTCCCCTCCTTCATGTCTGATATTAGTAATTTGTATCCTCTCTCTTTTTTTCTTAGTTTGCCTGGCTAGAAGCTTACTGGTTTTAATGATTTTTCAAAGAGCCAGTCTTTGTTTTCATTTTTTTCTCCATTGGCTTCCTGTTTTCTACTTGATTTCTGCTCTAATTCTTATTAGTTCTTCTCTTCTGCTTACTTTGGATTTAATTTGCTCTCCTTTTTCTAGTTTACTACAGTAGGACCTTAGACAATTGATTTTAGATCTTCTCTTCCAACATATGCCTTCAGGGCTTTAAGTTTCCCTCCTAGTACTGCTGCCACTGCATCCTACAAGTTTTTATGAGCTGTGTTTTCATTTTCATCTAGTTCAAAATATTTTTAAATTTCTCTTGAGATTCTACTTTGACCCACGTATTATTTACAAGTGTGCTGTTGAGTCTCTATGCATTTCGGGATTTTCCAGTTACTTAGTCTATTGATTTCTAGTATAACTCAATTGTGATCTGAGAGCACAATTGTATGATTTCTATTTTTTAAATTTGTCAAGATGTGTCTTATGGCCCAGAACGTGGTCTATCTTGGTGGATGTCCCACATGAGCTTGAGAAGAATTCTCTCTCTAGTCATCCATGTGAAAAATGGCTCCAGCACCCAACTGGCCACAAAGCTATAATTTTAGAATCACAGTTTTAATTCAGTCCACAGGGGAAACATATAATGTATGAAAACAAGAACAGGTTATGTAGAGTGGGAGCAGAGGGGGTGAGATGCAGAAAACAAAGACTCCCCTTTATATTAGAGCATAAAATTGGCCAGCCTATCACAGTGTGAGATCTGATATCAGAACCACTATTAATGATCAAAAGTTACTAAGCATAAGTGTAACTTAAAACACGGATTTGTCTTATTTTATTACCAATGTGCCATTTTACCCACATTTTCTTTATGTCTGAAGTTAGTTCAGGCAAATGTGGTAAGTTTTCTACTAAAAAGTAACTTGTGGCAAGGAATTGTAATTCTGGATAAACATGTCTGGCACATGTAAGACATCACCAAATATTTATGAAAGGTTGTGTTAAAACTTTAGGTGTAGTTAAGGTCAAGTTGACATATAAAGTTAAGTCACAATTGCAGCAATTGTTAACACAGTGACGTTTGATATCCCAATTAAGCCATAACAGAATTAAAATTATCGAAGGAAACAGAACAGCTGTCTGAGACCCACGGATAGGCATGGGAAGTTTCTCTGTTCAGTGCCAGATAAATATATAACATATGCAATAAACTTACATAATAAAATATATAAAAAATAAAATGGAATATGATTCAGCCATGAAGAAGGAAAGCATCTTGCCATTTGTGACAACATGGATGGACCTTGAGGCATTATGCTGGGTGAAGTAAGTCAGACAGAGAAAGACAAACACCATAGGATCTCTCTTATATGAAGAATTTTAAAAACAACAACAACAACAAAACACCAAGCTTGCAGATATAGAGAAGAGATGGTGGTTTTGAGAGGGCAGGGATAAGGGTGGGAGAAATAGGTGAACTGATGGTTTTGCGGGCTTAAGTTTAAACAAATTAAATAAGAATTTTAAGGGGTGTCTGGATGGCTCAGTTGGTTAAGCATCCAACTTCGGCTCAGGTTATGATCTCACGGTTCATGGGTTCGAGCCCCACATAGGCTCTGTGCTGACAGCTCAGAGCCTGGAGCCTGCTTCAGATTCTGTGTCTCTCTCTCTCTCTCACAAAAATAAATATTCATTTAAAAAATTAAAAAAAAAAAAAAAGAATTTTAAGATAACTGGGGCACCTGGGTGGCTCAGCTGGTTAAGCGGCCAAGTCTTGAGCCGGCTAAGGCCATGATCTCACAGTTTGAGGGATGGAGCCCCGTGTCCACGCTATCAGTGTGGAGCCTGCTTCGGATTCTCTCTCTCCTCTCCCCTGCTGACACACTCTCTCTCTCTCTCTCTCTCAAAATAAATACAGTTTAAAAAATTTAAAAAAAAAAGAATTTTAAGCAAACTGTAGCTAGGTCAAGAGACTGTTCAGATGCTAGAGGATGAAAAGAGAGGACAGAATGGAAAGATAAAGAGCTGGGCATTTGAATAGGAAGTAAGTGCAAGAGTGTCTCAGTTGAAACCGCTGCGTGGCAAGAATGCTGGCATCGATCACTTTTGATCCCGACTTTGGTTGACTGGCTAGCCTCAATCTTCTAAGAATAATGGCTACGTGTCTACAGACACTCAGGGACACCTAAATGATTAGAATCAGGACAGGCATTAATCAGAAAACAAACAACGCTCTGGAGTATCCCTCGATCGTGTGGACTTATTTTACGCCTACCAGCTGTCTCAAGGGGGCACTGAAGACAGCGAGGGCCATGCCTCTATTAACCAAGCCATTCATTCCAGGCAAAGAGAAAAGCAAGTCAAGTGAGCTGAAGCAGAAGCGTGACCATGACGGGACTCCTGGGCAGCAGTGGGGCGGTGCGGAACAGAATGAGTGAGCGGAAATAAGCATAGGGAAATATGTGAAAAGCCAGGAAGCTGAGGGGACAGACGCCTTAGGGCCTGACCTGTTCTGACTCATGTCTTAGGAGAGGCTCTCTAGCTGCTGTGTTACTGCAGGGCGGCTCTTACCTAAACACCCATCTCTCTGGGTTTCTGTCTCCATCACCAACAGCCTTTCTTCTCTCTCCAACTGGGATATAAGCTCTGGTTTGAAGGGCTGATTCCCTGTAGAAAGGCAAGGACAGCAGAAGTTTTAAGTTTTGACAAAATCCAAGTGATCTTTTTTTTTTTTTTTTTTTGAATCATGCTTTTGGTGCCTAAGAACTCCCTGCCTAATGCAAGGTCAGGAAGAATTTCTCCTGCGTTGCCTTCTAGAAGTTTCACACTTTTACATTTTCCATTCAGTCTCTTAACCATTTTGAGTTAATTTTTTGGTGAGGTGCGAGGCATGGATATAGGCGCATACAGAAGTCCAAATGTTTCAGCACCCTCTGTTGAGAAGACTATGCTTTCGAGGCGCCTGGGTGGCTCAGTCGGTTAAGAGTCCGACTTCGGCTCAGGTTATGATCTCACGGTTCATGGGTTCGAGCCCCACACGGGCTCTGTGCTGACAGCTCGGAGCCTGGAGCCTGCTTCGGATTCTGTGTCTCATTCTCTCTCTGCCCCTCCCCAACTTGTGCTCTATCAAAAATAAATAAACGTAAAAAAAAAGAAAAATCTTTAAAAATAAAATCTTAGGGGCTTCTGGGTGGCTCAGTCAGTTAAGAGTCCAACTTCGGCTCAAGTCATGATCTCGCAGTTTGTGAGTTTGAGCCCCGGATCGGGTTCTGTGCTGACAGCTCGGAGCCTGGAGCCTGCTTCAGATTTTGTGTCTCCCTCTCTCTCTGCCCCTCTCCTGCTCATGCTCTGTCTCTCAAAAATAAATATACATTAAAAAAGTAAAAAAAAAAAAATTTTTTTTAAAGACTATACATTCTCCATTAAATTGCTGTGGCACCTGTAATGCATCTAAAATAGTTTCAGAGGGGCGCCTGGGTGGCTCAGGCGGTTAAGCATCCAACTTCAGCTCAGGTCGTGATCTCGCGGTCTGTGGGTTCGAGCCCCGCGTCGGACTCTGTGCTGACAGCCCAGAGCCTGGAGCCTGTTTCAGATTCTGTGTCTCCCTCTCTCTGACCCTCCCCCGTTCATGCTCTGTCTCTCTCTGTCTCAAAAATAAATAAAGGTTAAAAAAAAAATAGTTTCAGAATGGCTTGTTTCTTATCACTACAATAAGCAAATCCACTAAAAATTGTTCAGGATCCCGGTTTCATTCCTCTACCCCCCCTCCCATTGTACCTAATGCTAAGGTGATATGATATGGTTACGTGCTATGTTCCTTAGCTATTTCCATAAGTTCTTTTCTCTCTTCAGGGTGGCTATGGTATTAGTTTCAAATATAATTTAACTTTTCTTTCAGCTTTAGACTGTCGCGCCTTCGCATGCTTCATTTTCTACTGTTTTTTTCTTATTTAATTTTTATCATGTGGTGAACTAGCATATTTTCAAGAGTCCAGACCAGACAGAAAGGCACACTCAAATGAATGTGACACACCTCTTCCACACTCTTACCTCCCGCCCACTGTAAGAGACTAACTTCATGATTTTCTGATTAATCCTTCTTGGGTTTCTTCTTATAAAGACAAGCAGATAGACATAGATCCCCTTCGTTCTTACACGAGTTGTGGTATACTATTAACACTCTTTTGCACTTTACTATCTTTATGTTTATTTACTTACTTACTTATTTGTTCATTCTGAGGGACAGCAAACCAGGGAGGGGCAGAGAGAGAAGGAGAGAGAAATCCCCAACAGGCTCTGTGTTGTCAGTGCAGAGCCTGATGCGGGGCTCGAACTCATGAACTGTGAGATCATGACCTGAGCCAAAACCGAGAGTCAGATGCTTAACCGACTGAGCCACCCGGGCACCACTGCACTTTGCTATCTTTAGGGAAAATTTCTAGAAGTGAATTGCTGGGACCATTGCTGAATAACTGTCAAATTCCCCTCCTTCAGGACCGTATCATCTTGCGTTCCTACTTTCTTTTTTTTTTTTTTCAACGTTTATTTATTTTTGGGACAGAGAGAGACAGAGCATGAACGGGGAAGGGGCAGAGAGAGAGAGGGAGACACAGAATCGGAAACAGGCTCCAGGCTCTGAGCCATCAGCCCAGAGCCTGACGCGGGGCTCGAACTCCCGGATCGCGAGATCGTGACCTGGCTGAAGTCGGACGCTTAACCGACTGCGCCACCCAGGCGCCCCACGTTCCTACTTTCAATGTATGAGAGTGCTCTATTTCCCGCCACTTTGCCCAAAAAAGTATAGTGTTTGAATTTTTGCTAATCTCATGGGTGAGAAATGGTATTTCGGTGTAATTTTATGTAACATTTCTCTTATTTTTAATGAAAGTGAAATATCTACTCCTATGTACGCATGTGCTTACATGTATGTGAGTGAATGTATGCATGCGTGCGTGTGCATGCACACACACACACACACACACACACACACACACACTCCTACCTGCTAGTTCTATCCCCTGAGGCCAAGAAACAAAGCCACCACAGTGTCAGTGACACTGGAGGCTAGGTATCCAGACCTTGTTGTTAAATACCACGCTCCAAGAAATGGATGATTCCAGAGCTAGGGTAAAGTAAAAGAGGGACAAAGAACAGCATGCTACGCCATCAAGTAAGGAAGTGCTCAAACCAAGGTTGGGGAATACTACAAAAGTCCAGATTTGGAGCAATTTTAGCACCCAAATAATTACAGTAATATTACAATCCATTAAAAAAAAAGTCACAAGTCCCTACAAATAAACAAATGGTTAAGGCGTAGGGGGCTCTTGCTTTACTGTAGAATGCCAAGAGCTGACTGCTAACTGTGAAGGAGGTACTAAGGCAGAAAATCATTTTGTAATGACCATGGTAAAGACTGGAAAAGGCAAGAATCATCACTGGATGCTAAATCTATAGGGAAATATTTGTGTAGTCTTAAAAAGTGTCGCCCTATGATTGCAAGAGAAACAAAGCAGTGGTTTTATGGTGGAGAAACTGAATACCTTGACTGGGTGGTCAAAATTAGCACCACCGGGGCGCCTGGGTGGCTCAGGCAGTTGAGCGTCCGACTTCGGCTCAGGTCATGATCTCACGGTTCATGGGTTCGAGCCCTGCGTCAGGCTTTGTGCTGACCGCTCAGAGCCCGGAGCCTGCTTCGGATTCTGTGTCTCCCTCTCTCTCTCTGCCCCTCTCCTGCTCACGTTCTGTTTCTCTCTCTCTCAAAAACAAATAAACATTTTTTAAAAAATTAGCACCACCCACGGGGGACAGACTGTGTGCCTCTATATGTGATATTCTCAAAAGGACTACCAATATAGAGTTCCAGCCAGAATGGATCATCTGAACCTAATTACAAGGGAAGTCTCGGGAATATTATATGCAAAATGGGGGAAAGGGAATTATAGCGTTCTTCCAAAATGTCACTGTCATAAAAGACAAAGAAACTGTGTGGAAATGTTCCAAATTAAAGAAGATTAAAGAGACATGGCAGCTAGACTAGACTCAAGACTAGGCCTTGCTCTGGGGAGAGAAAAATCGGCTTTAAGGAATGTAAGTTGCTCTACGGTTACAATCAGAGCACAAAGGACAGATGATGTAAAAGTATTATATCTGCACGGGGAATACATGAGAGAATATTGCTATTTCTACAAAATGGACCGTCTCGTGAAGAATTAACCATGCCCAAAGAGACGCCTGGTCTCTGTCCTCAGCTCTTGGGAAGTGATCTCTAAGTCCTGGGGATTTCCTGTCTGGTGCGAGTGTCTTTCTCACCTGGAGGCCCTGGGCTACAATGTGACTTCTGGTGGGGCCTGTGGCCCACCTGCTATCGGCTTGATTTCCAGAGGGGCTGGAAACTAAGGTCAGCCTCACAGGTGTCCAACCACATCGCTACGGCCAAACCGCAATAAAAGCTCTGGGCACCTTGGCTCGTGTGAGCCTCCCTGGCTGGCGACACTCCACGTGCAGGATGATCCACCACCGCCGGGCACAGTTAGTGCTGCGCACGACCCCTCTGGGAGAGACCGCTGGGAGCTGGTGCCCGACACCCCCTGGGTTCTGCCCCAGGTGCCTCTTCCTGTGGGTGATTTTTTTTTTTTAATGTTTATTTATTTTTGAGACAGAGAGAGACAGAGCATGAATGGGGGAGGGGGCAGAGAGAGAGGGAGACACAGAACCGGAAGCAGGCTCCAGGCTCCGAGCCATCAGCCCAGAGCCTGACGCGGGGCTCGAACTCCCCAACCGTGAGATCATGACCTGAGCCGAAGTCGGACGCTCAACCGACTGAGCCACCCAGGCGCCCCTTCCCGTTTCTGATTTTAACCTGTATCCTTTCCAGGTCATAGAGCGGAACCATGGGGATAACAGCTTTCAGGGCATTCTGAGAGTCCCTCTACCGAATTATTGAGGCCGAAGGTATTCTGAGGGACCCCTGAGCTTGCGACCGGTGTCAGACTGAGAGTAGCCTTGGGGACTCCCAAACTCTGCATACACACTGAAGTATTCAAAGATAAAGGGCTATGTCGTATGCAATTTACCCTCCAGTAGCTCAGAAAAAATTATCATACATATACATATGTTTTCATATATACACAGAAATATATTTGGAGAGAGAAAAAATATTTTATTTTACAAAAATAAATGGGGTATAATGTTACTATAGGTGAATCTAGGTAGAAGCTATAGGGGTGTTCTTGTTCTTTACCTTGGCAAATGTTCTGTACATTTGAAGTTATTTACAAAAACATTTTCTAAAAATTTTGTTAATGTTTATTTATTTTTGAGATAGAGAGAGAGGGCAAGCAGTGGAGTGGCAGAGAGAGAGAGGGAGACACAGAATCCGAAGCAGGCTCCAGGCCATGAGCACATAGAGCCTGATGCAGGGCTCAAACCCACCAAACTGTGAGATCATGATCCGAGCCAAAGTCATATACTTAACCGACTGAGCCACCCAGGCACCCCTACAAATACATTGTTAAAGCAAAAACCAAAAACCAAAAAATAAAAAACCTCTGAAACATCAAGTTAACAAACAGTTACCATT